TCTCAGGATCTTGGACATACATGCACATGCACCTGGCATTTAAGATTTAAGTTGCTGGATCCAGGAATTGAGTCAGGGTCAACCATGTGAGAGTCCAGGGACGTAACCATTATGCCATCTGCTGGTCCCCCTAAATAAATATTCTTAAGTTCATTTTTTTCATGATAGAAAACGCTCAAGAGGGACCAGCAGTTAGCATAATAGCTGTGTCGCTGGACTCCCATGTAGTCGATTGTGGTTTGAGTCCTGGAACTGGTGGCTTAAACTCACACCAAGCGCGTGTGGGTGCATGCCCAAGATCCCGAGAGGAGAATGGAAGAGAAGGGATTGCGGTGTGGCCATCCCCCCAGGGGGTGATTTTTTGCTGTCTGTCTCTCTGTCTCTGTCTGTCTTTCTGGTGAGTGCACGTGCCCTATAGCAAACACCTCTCAAAACAAACAAACAGAAATAAAAAAGAAAAAATACTCAAGAGGGTAAGGAGGAACACCCACAGATGGGTCTAGTCGTGTGGCTCCCCTCTTCCCCTAGCTCTATAGCTGGTCTGGATCTTGGGCATATGCATGCCAGCATGTTGTAGGGATCTGAACAGACAGTGACTTCCAGACTGCAATTCAGTAGACTACCAACTACGCCATCAAGGCTGGGCTTTGTTTTAAATAATTTTTAACTTTACTCCCTCTGTTCTCTCTTCTCTAGACATGAATTACCTTAGGTCTTTAAAGTCAACTAAAATTTAAATGATATTCTTCCTAGAAGTTAAAAAATTCAGGAATACAATTTTTAATATTTTTGCTCTATGACTCAAAATTAATAAGCTACTGTAAGATACTTAGGAGCACATAAAAGATGCTCAGTGTTGAATCACTGTCTTCCTTGTGTCCTCATCGGGGCTGACAGGTGGCATGGTGATTAAGGGCAACTGAACTTCCTCATGATTGACCACTGTTCAAGTCCTGGACCTGGTGGCTTGTTTTCTCAAGCTTTCCTTTTCTCTTTTGCTTTTTCTCTCTCTGTCCCTCTGTGGTCAAATTAAAATAAATAGAGTTAAATAAAATGATTCTTTTTTATTTTTTTTCCTAAAGAAAGAATATAACATCTTGACTCCTTATCTAGAAGGATGTGGTCTTAGGGGATTCCCCACTCATTGTCAGTCAGCTCTTACCTGGGCAAGGTATCACTTTTGGCACTGTAGTGAAACAGACATGAAATATGATGGTCATTCTCAAATATTTTACAATTGAGTGGTGGAAGAAAGGGTTAGGGAGGTGGAAAAAGAAAAATTTGATGAGCAAAGCTACGAAGGTTAGAATCTCACTGTTGGTGATCCATAAGTGGAGTTAAGTGGGATCATACCTCAAGGATTTGGAGAAATGGTCTAATATTAGCATTTATTTATTGGAGAGTAGTAGGAGATGGGATTGGAAAGATAGTTTTATTGTATTTGAGTATTTTATACATTATACAGGAGATATTTAAGAGTAGCTAAAGGCTAAGGAACATGAAGTTAAATAGATGTGGTAGGTTAGGGTGTTTTTTTTTTAATTTTTTTTTTAGTTTATTCATTTTTTCCATGACAGAATGGGTAGAAAGAGCACCCTCAACAAGATCTTCATGCCGTGATCCACTCCAGTCCCACTCAGCCAGTTACCTTTGTTGATTAAGAGCATTGTAGGTCCAGCAGGTGGCATAGTGATTAAGGTGTTGAACTCCCACATGGTTGACTGTGGTTTGAGTCCTGGATCCAGTGGCTGGAAACTCCCACTGGGAGTGTGTGTATGCACGCCCACCCAAATCCCAGGAGGAAAATGGAAGAGAAAGGATTGTGGCATGCCATCCCCCCAGAGGGTAATTTCTCACTTTCCCTCTTTCTCTTTTTTCTTTAGGGAGTGTACATGTCTATGGCAAAAACCTAAAAAAAACCCTAAAAGATGGGACCAGCAGTTAGCGTAGTGGCTATGTCGCTGAACTCCCATGTAGTTGACTGCAGTTTCAGTCCTGGACCTGGTGGCTTAAACTAACGCTGGGCGCGTGTGCATGCGTGCCCAAGATCCCGAGAGGAGAATGGAGGAAAAGGGATTGCCATGTGGCCATCCCCCCCTGGGGGTGATTTTTCACTTCCTTTTTCTCTGTCTCTGTCTGTCTGGTGAGCGCACATGCCCTATAGCAAAAACCTCTCCAAAAAACAAAAAAACCCTAAAATATTAGACAGTGGAATGGAGACAGTGATGATCTTAATACTTACCCTACTTCCTGAGACATCAAAACACTGTACCTTGTTATTTCACAAACTTGTTTTATCAAATGGTAGAGTGTAGCAATATGCTTTGTAATCTGTAAGCAGGTACACAAATATAAACAGAAATTTTTTCACTGTTGGTAACCAAGGGTGTCTGGGGTTAGAAATGCACTCTCTGGTTCTGCCTAAAATGGTTCCATTCTCTTATTCTTGTATTTTGAACAAGTTAATTGACAGATGTCAAGGCTGTAGAAAGCCTCCAAAGTTTTTTACATTATCAGAAATAAAAAGCCCTTTCTGTCCAACTAAGCTTGATCTTGAGACCTGCGTCAATGTTCTTTTCTGTTCATTCTGAAAAGTCTGTAGCTGAATTTCAATATGTTGTCTTGATAGTCTACCGATTAAAATTGGGCAGAAGCCTATACAAAGAAACAAAGTTCTGAGAGGTCTTCTGCCTTCCTCCAAAACTACATTCCAAAGAAAGATCAATTTCGAGATCTAGTATCTTCTCTTAAGATTTTCAGGGAACCAGCAGTTAGTGTAATGGCTATGTCGCTGGACTCCCATGTAGTCGACCACGGTTCGCGTCCCGGACCCGGTGGCTTAGAACTCACGCCGGGTGCGTGTGCGTGCGTGCCCAAGATCCCAAGAGGAGAATGGAGGAGAAGGGATTGCAGTGTGACCATCCCCCCCTGGGGGATAATTTCTCGCTTTCTGTCTCTATGTCTCTCTCTGTCTGTCCGGCGAGCGCACGCGCCCTATAGTGAAAAAACCTCTCCAAAAAAAAAGGAACCAGCAGTTGGCGTAATGGCTATGTCGCTGGACTCCCACATAGCTGACCACAGTTCGTGTCCCAGACCTGGTGGCTTAAAACTCACGCCGGGCATGTGTGTGTACGTGCCCAAGATCCCGAGAGGAGAATGGAGGAGAAGGGATTGCGGCGTGACCATCCCCCCTGGGGGGTGATTTCTCGCTTTCTGTCTCTATGTCTCTCTCTGTCTGGCGAGCGCACGTGCCCATGTACACACACACACACACACATACTTTTTTTTATTAAGAGACTTTTGTTGTAGTGCATGTGTACTTGCTGGAGAGACAGAGACAGAGAGACAGCGAGAAATCACCCATCCAGGGGGGATGGCCATACCACATTCCTTTCTCCTCCATTCTCCTCTTGGGATTTTGGACAGGCATGCACATGGTGCCCAGCATGAGGTTTAAGCTACTGGGTTCGGACTCCAACCATGGTTGACTATGTAAAAGTCCAGCCATGTAACCATTATGCCATCTGCTGGTCCTGAATTCCCTTTTTTTTTTTTTTTGGAGAGGTTTTTTTTCACTATACGGCGCGTGCACTCGCCAGACAGAGACATAGAGACAGAAAGCGAGAAATCACCCCCTAGGGGGGATGGTCACGCCGCAATCCCTTCTCCTCCATTCTCCTCTCGGGATCTTGGGCACGCACGCACACGTGCCTGGCGTGAGTTTTAAGCCAGGACGCGAACTGTGGTCGACTACGTGGGAGTTCAGCGAGATAGCCATTATGCTAACTGCTGGTTCCCCTGAATTCCCTTATTTTTTAAACTTCTTCAGAGTGAGGATAAAAGGAGACTACTGTATTGACCAGGGATAGAGTTCTCAATGTGGTATGTCAGAAGGATCTTTATAAGGTCTGCTTATAAGGTCATGGTAGAGCTTTGGCAAGAAAATGATCTTTTCTCCCTCAGCCCAAGGGGAGAGGTATGTCTTCTCTCCCTCTCCCCCATTTTCTGTCCTTAAAGACTAGCAGCAGTAGGATTTAGAAAATAACTTTTTAAAAAAATAATTCCTAACATAAACTGTAACCATCTAGTTTAAATTTACTTGCCTGTTTCTTAATTTTGTAATTTAGAGAAGCATTGTTGAGGATAAATAATAGTGATTCACCTGCAGTTGGATATAGGATTCATATTACATAATAAAGGGGGGAACTTGATCTCCAGCTTTTCCCCAATGTGTTCCTTGCATAGACAGCCTCTGATTCCTCAATAGTTTGGAGATTTGGGGGTACTTGATTTCTGCTGTATCATGAAGCACAGGTAGTGGCATGATTTAAAAAGACCTGAAGGATCGTTCAGTTCTTGCATAGTATAATATTCAAAAGGAAAAGAATTACTAAGTGGGACTTAGGAAGTATAGCAAGAAGGATAAGGATGTGTGGCAGATAGATCTTGGTTTGCTAAAGTGCTTGGGCTAACATTGCTGTCTTTCTTGTCTAGCAAGGGGTCCCATGGTGTATTACACATTGCATAACTTTTTGTAAGTTGCCGAAGGTCATGCACATGTGCACTAGCCAGAGAGAAAGAGAAAAATCACCCCTCACTGAGATGTGGTCATGCAACAGTCCCTTTTCCTCCATTCCGTTAGGATTTTGAAAAACCCATGTTTTTCAGACCTCTGGGGCTGAGATTTAAACCATGGATGGCCATGTAGGATCTGGCTTCCTTAACTGCTGGGCTGCAGGGCCGCCCTGTATAACTTTTTAAATGACCAAGTTAGTGATTTATCCCGTCCCCCTGCCACCTTTCCTCCCCTGACTTCTTCCTGACTTGTCTCCTTGCCTCTCTTCCCTTCCCCTCATTCCTTACTGCTTTCTTGTCTCCTTCCTTTCCTCCCTTTTCCTACCTCTCTTCCCTCCATTCTTATATCCCCCCTTTTTTCCCTTTCTTTCTCTTTTAACTTTACTGAGGATTAAGCCCCAGGAAAAATTATTTGTTTAAATTAGGGGTCAAGACAGTTCCTACCGCAGAGACTCTGATACCATTTAAAGGCAATAAAGAAAGGATCAAGACCTCTGACCACATGGAAGAAATGACAAGCACGAACCAGCGAAAATCAGTATGAGGATAGCCTGTTGTATCATTAGTTTTAGAGGCTGGGAGTGTATATTGCTGAAAAGGGGTCCCACTGTTGGGAGTAGAATCAGCCTTTACCTTGTCCTGTTTGCTGCTACATGAGAGACTAGGAGAAGCAAATAAGGACCTTCAATGCCCAGGTGAATTAACTCAACCCTTTACTTGGTAGATACCTTCTCTTTGGGAATTATTGCTCTTAAAACGTTCAGCCCTGTTGCCAACACCTGTCACAGATGTTGATTTTCTAAGCTGGACTAGCTCTGAGACCGAAATATTGGAAAAATACACCTATTGGTGATGATCACCTTTCCAAATTTTATTTTATTAATATATCCTTTACTAATACATGTGATATATCATTCAGTTTTTGTATCATCCCCCATTACATACTTAAGGGAGAATAAATGTTATTCCTTAGATCTGGAGGCTAAGGCGCAAATCTAAGAAACTTGCTTGAATTCATAAGGCTGTTGTTTTCTTTTAAAATTTTATTCATTGTAGAACATGCGTATGGACACATGGATGGAGGGAGAGAGTTGGAGAGCACCTTCCACAGGATCTGGACATACTGTGATCCCCTTCCTCCATTCTTCCAACCCATCAGATCCTGGGCACTTGTATACATGCCTGGTGTGTTTCAGTTGGACTGGGCTTCAGTTGCCATGTGGGCTTCAGTCCCTCCCAAGTAGTGCATTACTGCTATGGTGTGGAGCCCACCCTAAGGCGTTTAGTTTTAATTATGGAATCAAAACCGGAACCCAGATCTTCTGTCTCCCAAACAGGTGCACTTTTGCTGACTACATTATGTGAAGTTGTCTTCATCTGTTTAAATAGAAATTTAAATAAATATTTGTGTTCATTAATGGAAGTTTTATTGCTTAGAAAATTTAGTAGCCAGGAGAGAGTAATATTCACCCCCCCCCCAAAAAATGAGAAAGTTGATTTTATCCAGTGTCATATGGTTTGCGAGAAGGAACTGTTGACTGTAATTTAGCCCTTTTTGTTTAGTGTTTCCCTGAGAAACCAACCTATTGGTAGGTGGGATCTTTAGTAGATGCCAGTAAGTATATGTTGAATGTTTAGTAGATGCCAACAAGTATACATAGGTTGGTGTGAAAGTCATGATGTATTTTTGCACACTTTCTCAACTACCCAATAAGTTGAGTAGAACTAATCTCTCCCTAAATCTTCGACCCTAATGCTATTATGGGTAAGGTTTCAGGTTTTATGAAGTATTAAACTTTTCTTCCAGAATAAACCAGGATTACATTGGTCCACTTTGTTGAATGCATGACTTGAATTAGATACCTTTTGGGGGCCTAAGTTTAGAAAAGGTGACTGACCATATTTTTCACAGGAATTTGGGAGAATTAGGATTATAATGACAAGCTAGTAGTAGGACCAAGGCATGAGGTCACACAAATAGAAGTTGGGCAAGAACTGGCCTTTGGCTGGAACAGAAGTCAAACTACTTAAACTGCAGCAATGAGTTGAAAAGCATAGGTTACTCTGTATCTAGGCCTAGGTCAATACTTGAGAGTGTTTCCTGAGCTAGCAAGATGAGAGCCCACTAGAGGGGAGGGCCCAGTCGAGATCCAGGAGATACTAACTGTAGTGAATTTATTAATTAAGACAATTATTGAGTCCGTTGTTAACTATTCTATTTTTCCTTTATTTATAGTGGAGCACACATGCATGTGAGAGAGGAGAGCATCCTCCACTGCATCTGGTCATTCTATTGCCTCCTTCCTCTAGTCCTCTATCACATCTAATCTTGGACAGTGACACATGTGTCCAGCATGGTTCAGGCCAGCCAGGCCAGGGATTTGAGCTGCAGTTACCATATAGGATCTGGCTTCTTTTGAGTAGTGTATTACTACTACACCATGGAGCAGCCCCACCTTGTTAACTATCAGTTATTGGTTCAGCAAAAGGTCTTTGAAATTGAAGTATCATGTCACTCTTAACCCTCTAGTCCAGAGAATGTCTTAACTGCAGAGGGTAATTCTTTTTATTTTTAAATTTAATTTAATTTTTAGGTTTTTGCCATCAGGCAGAGATAGGGAAAGTGGAATCATTCCTCAGTGAGGGGATGGCCATGCCACAATCCCTTCTCCTCTTGGGATTTTGGGCACACATGCACACATACAGACACACACACACGACATGATTTTCAAGCTATTGGCTATTGGGTCTGGGACTTGGACTGCAGTCAGCCATGTGGAAGTCCAGCTCCTTAACCACTACACCACCTGTTGGTCCCCCTGTGGGTTTTTTTTTGGGGGGAGGGGAGGTTTTTCCTATAGGGCGCGTGTGCTCACCAGAAAGACGGAGAGAGACAGAGAGACAGAAAGCGAGAAATCACCCCCCGGGGGGACAGCCATGCCACAATCCCTTCTCCTCCATTCTCCACTCGGGATCTTGGGCATGCACAGACATGCGCCCGGTATGAATTTAAGCCACGGGGTCCAGGACTCAAATCGCAGTCGGCTACATGGGAGTCCAGTGACATAGCCATTACACTAATACTGGTCCCGTGTTTTTTTTTTTTTTTAAACTTATTTTTCCTCATGAGAGACACATAGGCATCCCCCCAGTGGGGTCCTCATACCACGATCCACCTCCAGTCTTAGCTGGCTTGGATTGTGGGTACTTAGTATGCTTAGGAAGTCACAGGATGCAAACTCAGAACCTTTCTTAATTTGGGCCCAATTGTGTTATATCTGTGCCGCTGCATGTCCTCTAATTCAGTTTACATTAAGAAATGATAGTGTCTAAACTAAATGAAAGCAAGACAGGGCAACAGTTCTTAAACTTTAGGGAGGATCAAAATCTCACCTGGAGGGCTTATTAAGCACATTTTTTTTTAAAGAAAAAAAAACTACACACACACACACGCATGCGCAAACTACACACATGTTGCTGGACCCCATTCCTAGAGTTTCTGTTTTAGTAGGTCGAGGCTGGACCCAAGATTTTGCACTTCTGACAGATGTTCTGGTTGATGCTGATATTAGTGCTGTTCATCCTGAGAGATCACACTTTAAGAACGATTGGTTCTGGGACAAAAAGATAGAAAATGTGGGTATAGATGTTTGATTCCTCTTAAGGTTTTCACAGAGAAAGCAAAGGAAACTAATATTTTTTCACTCCATCAAGACCCTGTGCCAGATGATTTTCAGTCATTGTTTAACTTAACCCTTGAAACCATTCTGCAAAATAGTCATTCTGTTTCCCCCCTCAACATACATCTGTTGGGACCAGCAGTTAGTGTAATGGCTATGTCGCTGGACTCCCCTGTAGTCGACTGCAGTTCGCGTCCCGGACCCGGTGGCTTAAAACTCACGCCGGGCGCGTTTGCATGCGTGCCCAAGATCCCGAGAGGAGAATGGAGGAGAAGGGATTGTGGCGTGGCCATCCCCCCTGGGGGGTGATTTCTCGCTTTCTGTCTCTCTGTTTCTCTCTGTCTGTCTGTCTGGCGAGCGCACATGCCCTATGGCAAAAACCTCTCCCAAAAAAAAAAAAAAGAAATATACATCTATTAAAATTTTGATGAAATAACAGTTTCTTCAAGGATACCTTTAGCTTATAACTTTAAAAAATAACGTTAGTATGTGGGAATGTTTCAAGACCTACAGTGGTTGCCTGAAACTGTGGGTAGGACACTACATATATTGTTTTTCTCTTATGTGTACATATTTGTCATAAAATGTAAATTTTAAGTCAGGTACAGTAAGAGATTAAAACAATAATAAAATAATAACAACATGCTGTAATAAAACTTATGTGAATGTGGTCTCTCTAGACTCACCTTTTTTTTTTTTTTTGAGAGGTCTTTGCTATAGGCATGTGCACTCGCCAGAGAGACAGAGATAGAGAGATAGAAAGCGAGAAATCACCCCTCAGAGGGATGGCCACTCTGCCGTCCCTTCTCCTCCGTTCTCCTCTGGGGATCTTGGGCGTGCACATACACGCGCCTAGCGTGAGTTTAAGCCACCGGGTCTGGGACTCGAATCACGGTCGACTACATGGGAGTCCAGCGACATAGCCATTACACTAACTGCTGGTCGCTAGACTCACATATTTTTGAACTACAGTTGGCCAAGGGTAACTGACATTGCAGAAAGCTGCTGTACACAATTACAGATGTGATTCCATTTAATCTAGAGAATACATCAAATTCTGTAGTTGACTGTTACATATTTTTTTACTCTTCTTGTAGATAAGAGACATAAATGTTAATTAGCTTAACAGTGATGATTATACAGTAGAAGGAACTAATATTGAGACATGTTTTTACATGAAGATCATTAAGTGAACAAGAGCTTGACTTTAATTTTTAAAGATTTATTTATTTATTTATTAGTTTTGTGCCTGGAATAGCCTGAGAGAGAGAGAGACAGACAGATATACTGAAAGTGAGAAATCACCCCCTGGGGTGAGGATGGCAATGTCACCATTCTTTCTCCTCCATTTCCTCTTAGGATTTTGGGCATGTATGCACACATGCCTGGCATGTTTTTCAAGCTATTGAATCCTGGATTTGAAACTAATTGTCAGCCTTGTGCGATCCAGAGCCTTAGCCACCACACCACCTTCTGGCCCAAGAGCTTGACTTTAAGTATATACAGGGACCAGTAGTTAGTGTAATGGTTATGTCGCTGGACTCTCACATAGTTGACTGTGGTTCGAGTGCCGGACCCGGTGGTTTAAACTCATGCCGGGCGCGTGTGCGTGCATGCCCAAGATCCTGAGAGGAGAATGGAAGAGAAGGGATTGTGGCGTGGCCATCCCCTCTTGGGGGGGGGTTCTCACTTTCTCTCTCTCTGTCTCTGTCTTTCTGGTGAGCGCATGTGCCCAAAAAGAAAAAAACCTCTCCAAAAAAAAGAGAAAAAAAAGAGATTAAGTATATACAGGGGCCAGCAGGTGGCATGGTGGTTAAGGGAACTGGACTCCCACATGGCTGACCATGGTTCGAGTCCTAGACTTGGTGGTTTGCTTTCACACACACTCTCTCTTACTCCATTCCTCTCTGGTCAAATTAAAATAAATAAATAAAGTTAAAGTAATTCTTTGAAAAAAAAAAAGATGAAGTATATACAGTTTTCCTGACACAAGAAAGATAAACCTGTATTAGGTTTATCAGGGTTTTTTAAAATTTTTTTTATATTGCCAGTTGGCTATTGACTAACACTATTATAGAAACTAAGGGGAGGAACGACAAATTTAGTATTAGTAGGTACTAATACATGATCAAACCCTTGATAATGTAACTGCTAGACTTAACTAATTTATTCTTTGATAATGTTTTTGAAAGAGTAACTTGTTTCTAATGGAGCTCAGTGAATTTACTTTGTGTTGTTTGACAGAGTTGTACAGAATTATTGTTAAAAAAAAAAGGTGATCAAGCAGTTGAATTGAAGGCATTTTGAATAAACCTGCCATTTATATCATCTTTGATCTTGGAATTGAAAGTAAAGCTGGAAAGGAATTTACAAACGAGAAAAAAAAGAAGTTTGGAATTGGACTCACAAGATCTGGGCCTGGAAATGCCTCAGGTAAATCATACAGAGTAGGTGTAATTTTTAAATTTTTTCACTGCAGAAAGTCAATACCATTGGTTTTGTAAGTTCTCTGAATCTTTTAAAAAATTATTTAATTTTGTTTATTATTATTATTATTATTTTAATTTACTATAGGGCATGTGCACTAACCAGAGAGATGAGAGGGAAAAAGAGAAAGTAAGAAAGAAGTCACCAGGTCTGGAACTTGAACCATGGTTGGCCATGTGGGAGTCCAGGGCCTTAACCACTGTGCCACTTGCTGGCCCTACTTCTCCAAATCTTAACATAAGTTGACGTACTAGTTTTTAAAGTCATTTCTGTTCTCAGCTGGTTTTGAGTACATGTTCTCTCTTTCATTGCCTGCTCTTTCTTCCTTTGGTGCAGTTTTGAAGTTTAATGAGCTAGGCATAGGGGGCAGGTGAATAAGTAGGTAGAAGTCCTAGTTAATAGGTTTGAAGGTGGAAAGATCTGCTGACTAAAGCACCCAGCTAATTGGAGGTAAACAAATTCTCCTGAAGATTTTTCTACCAGAGAAATACCATTTCTGTTTCATCTGTCATCTTCCTATTTCCCAGTGCTTACTCTCCATTTATGCCCATTGAATTTAGAAGGCCTTAAGAGGAAATGGTAAGGGCACTTCAATTTTTCTTTTTCTCTCTTAAACCCACATACACATATATGTGCCTCCTGTAAGACTTTTCCAAGAATGATTAGGCTGTCCTTTCATACTTAACTGCTTCAAATTGATCAGTTTTGGCTTGAAGCAATCACTGAAACAGTAAATAAGTCCTGTCAGTCCTCATTCTACTCAGACTGTTTCCCTTCTGCCTCAAGTGATGAGCTCTTTTGGTTTCCGTGCTAGAGAGAAACCTAGAAATAACAAGTGGGCAGGGATTTATGTGGGAGCTGTTTCTTAAGCATGGGGAGTAAACAATTTTCTGCGATTGTCTAGGACTCAGAGAGACAGGAAGCAGAGGCAGAGAAAAGGGATTTGTTAGCTGTTACTAGAAAGACCCAAGGTTTACCTCTACCTCCAACCCCTGTGCCCAGTGGATTCATATACTCTCTGGAGTTCTTGCCTGCCCATTTAATATTTAGTTTTGCTATTTATCAAAAACTTAAATTTAGAGGTATAAAGTGACGATAAGTTTTTCTAGGAAGAAAGGTTCCACAGACCTAGAAAGGTCGGAGAATAAAAGAAAATGGGAAAAAAATGGAATGGGATGTATTGTGAAGAAAAATATGATGACAGAGTATATGAAAAGCCAGTTTGTGGTAGGTAGTAAATAAGTATAAGGAGATAAGCTAGTGTCACTTCTTAAGAATTTATAAAATACATGAGGAGAATAAAAAGGCAAAGAGAAAAGTTCTATTATTTTTCATTCACTTCCTTTACCCAAGTTAGATTTCAAAGTGAGGCCTTTCTGTCACTTGAGCTACTTTAGGAGTGTAAGTCTTGACTTTACTCCAGAGTGATGTGATGTGTATAGGTGTTGAAAATGAAAAAGAAGATGGAGGGAAAACAAGAGGGAACATTAACTCTGGAAACTTTCCCCCCCCCCCCCCCTTTCTGATTGTCCCTCTTCAGAGATAAGGATTAAGGCTACAGAGCTCTTACCCAGGCTACTGTTTTATCCAGATTTTGGGGTATTTCATTGACCTTAAGTCCGTCATGTTCCTGGAAGCATTGATTAACTAGAGCTGCCTAAATTGTCTTCCAGCTTGTTTTAGAAACTAAGTCATTGGCTTGACTTGGGAGTATAGAGGGAGAATGGTTTGCTACCTCTACAGACCTCAGGAAATGGCAGGAAATTCTCTACAGAGTCTTCTTAGAGACAGGAATGAAGAATTGTTGTATAGTTATATTAAAGTACTCCTTAGGTTGCTATATACTGCCTCTGGTTGCTAAATCAACTTTTTTTTTTTGGAGAGGGTTTCATTTTTAAATTTTTATTTTTTTTTTTTTGAGAGGTTTTTTTTATAGGGCGCGTGTACTCGCCAGAAAGAGAGAGACAGAGAGACAGAAAGCTAGAAATCACCCCCCGGGGGGATGGCCATGCTGCAATCCCTTCTCCTCCATTCTTCTCTTAAGATCTTGGGCATTGACGCACACGTGGCCAGCGTGAGTTTAAACCACTGGGTCCGGGACTCAAACCACAGTCAAATACATGAGAGTCCAGCGACATAGCCATTATGCCAATTGCTGGTCCCTAAACCTTTATTTTAAAAAAATTATTATTTATTTAATTTCGTTCATTATGATTACTTTTTAATTTGACCAGGGAGAGACATAGAGTTTCAAACCATTTTGAACTGCAGTTGGCCACGTGGGAGTTCAGTGCCTTAACAACCACACTACCTGCTGGTCTCCAGACTTTTAATTTTTTTAGAAGTTAGATATTAACAATTGCTATTCTCTATTTTTTTTGTTTCGAATGCATTTTGGATAATTTTCTAGTTTAATCCCACAGTTTAATGTTAGTTAAAGCTCTTAAATAAAGTACACAGTAGAAATAATACAGAATTATTTTCTGAAAATAGTAAGTTACGTAGTGGGGGTGGTATTAGGATCATATATATTAAATTAATCTTGAAGTATAATGAGAATCACTCTGTTGTAGCCTAGTGTAAGCGGAATGGATCCGCCTTTTGGGGATGCTTTTCGAAGCCACGCCTTTTCGGAACAGACTCTGATGAGCACAGATCTTTTAGCAAACAGTTCAGATCCAGATTTCATGTATGAACTGGTAAGAAACATTTTCTTGATTTTTGGTTTGATTTCTTTGGGGTCCAACTGTTGTGGTAGAGTTTTTAATTTATAAATGTCTGAAAAGAAGAAAGGATGTGGGCTGGAGATTCAGTGTTAACTCGTCCATGCCCACCAGCGTAATAAACAGTTCTAAAAAAATAAAAATTAAAAAAAGAATAAAGGATGCGTTAGGGCCAAGTTTGATTCTGTTAACTATATGTCCAGTTAAAATTATTAGAGAATGATTTCTGAACTCATGGAAAGTAGTAAGACAAAGGTTATATAAATATCTTCAAATTCAGTTTTTGATGAGAATGGGAAGCTTTTTTTCTTTTAATTATATGTATAGCTTTTTAACTGGAACATTAAGGAATGATAACACGAAGCAAGATTGTATGACATGGAAAGTGTGAGACAAATAACAATTTTAAGCAATATTTGCATATACTTAATTAATTTTTGAGGTAAACAGATACTTAACATTTCTAAGAAAAAAATGACTATATAAAATGAAATAATACAGAAGTATATAAAATAGAAAACTGAGTGCCCGAATCTATAAATTCTCTAAAAATCATTGAATGATGTATCTTATATAGGTGAATTTTATGGTATGAAAACTATACTTAATCAAAGTTACTAAAACACACATACACACAAAAGCATGCATACTATACATGCCCAAACAAAACAAAACCCATAGAAAACTGAAAACTTCCTTATTTTCTTCCTGAGACTCCACCTTCTAAACCTCTTCCCAAAAGGTAACTACTACTAGCAGAGTTTTGTTTTATATGTATATAAATATGCTTTTATATACATATGTTTTATATGTATATAAAATTGCATAATATATTATAACTTCAGAAAAATATATGATGTGTTTGTACATTAGAGTTTGACCTTACTGTCTTTAGTGGCTTAAAAGTCATACTGATATTTTCAAAATAACATCTCTAAAATACACGAGTATTTTACTTTTCATGCCCAAGAGATACTTTTGTTGGTTTTTAATTCACCAAAGAGCATGTGCCATCACTGGAAAGAAAAAGAAAGCAAGCAAGAAAGCACCCCGTATGGGGAATTGTTACATCCCAATTCCTTCTCCTCCATTTCTCCCTCTTTTTTGGGATTTTGGGTATACTTGTGCCCAACAAGTTTATCAAGCTGCTAGGCCCAGAACTCAAACTTTGTGATTCAACTAGGTAGAATCCAGCTACTCTAACCACTAGACCATGGGCTGGCATATCCAAGAGTTTTTTTTAAATAAAGTCTTGTAATCGATCTTCTTGTGACTGATTTCCAACTCTCTCAGGATTGTTCTTGGCCTCTAAATTTAAGTTCCTACTTAAAAAGACATTCTTCTGGGTCCAGCCAGTGGCATGGTGGTTAAGGCAGTTGGATCCTACATAAAAATCTGCATGATTTGAGACCTGGACTCAGGAAATGTGTACACTTTTTTTTTTTTTTAACAGTTTTACTATAGGGTGCTTGTACTCAACAGAGAGAGAAAAAACTGAGAAATTACCCCCTGGGAGGATTGCCATCCTTTGTTCTCCATTCTCTTGGGATTTCGGGCATACATGCACATATACCTGGCATGATTGTAAAGCTACTGGGCCAGGACTCAAACTGCTCAGTCAGCCATATGGGATCTAGTACCTTAACCTTCACACCACCAGTTGGCCCATGGACATGGAAACATTTATTTTTAATGAAAACATTTTTAAGGAATAGTGTTTATGGTAAAAGCTCAAGAGATTTGGACCATACCTAAGCCTCTCAAAGAGCATATTTCTATTTTTCTTCTCCAGAGAAATTGTATGGAATGGTACTACTATAATGCCAGTAGCCTTTAAGTGCTGATTTATCAATTTGATGTGTGATTTCTTTTCTTACATTTTTCAGGATAGAGAGATGAACTACCAGCAAAACCCTAGAGACAACTTCCTTTCTTTGGAGGATTGCAAAGACATTGAAAATTTGGAGTCTTTCACAGATGTCCTGGATAATGAGGGTGCTTTAACCTCAAACTGGGAACAGTGGGATACATACTGTGAAGATTTAACAAAGTATACCAAACTAACCAGCTGTGACATCTGGGGAACAAAAGAAGTGGATTACTTGGGTCTTGATGACTTTTCTAGCCCTTACCAAGATGAAGAGGTCATAAGTAAAACTCCAACTTTGGCCCAGCTTAATAGTGAGGACTCTCAGTCTGTTTCTGATTCCCTTTATTATCCTGATTCACTTTTCAGTGTCAAACAAAACCCCTTGCCCTCTTCATTCCCTGGTAAAAAGATCACAAGCAGAGCCGCTGCCCCTGTGTGTTTTTCTAAGACTCTTCAGACTGAGGTCCCTTCGTCAGACTGTGTCCAAAAAGCAAGTAAGCCTACTTCAAGCACGCAGATCATGGTAAAGACCAACATGTATCATAATGAAAAGGTGAACTTCCATGTTGAATGTAAAGACTATGTAAAAAAGGCAAAGGTAAAGATCAATCCAGTGCAGCAGAGCCGGCCTTTGTTGAGCCAGGTTCGTGCAGATGCAGCGAAGGAAAACACCTGCTACTGTGGTGCAGTAGCAAAGAGACAAGAGAAAAAAGGGATGGATCCTCTGCAGGGTCATGCCACTCCAGCTTTGCCTTTTAAAGAAACCCAGGAACTATTACTCAGTCCCCTGCCCCAGGAAGGTCCTGGGTCAATTGCAACAGGAGAGAGTAGCAGCCTTTCTGCCAGCACATCGGTCTCAGATTCATCCCAGAAAAAAGAAGAGCACAATTACTCTCTTTTTGTCTCTGATAACTTGAGTGAACAGCCAACCAAATGCAGTCCTGAAGAAGATGAGGAAGATGAGGAGGATGTTGATGATGAGGACCATGATGAAGGGTTTGGTAGTGAGCATGAACTATCTGAAAATGAAGAGGAGGAAGAAGAGGAAGAGGATTATGAAGATGACAAGGATGACGATATTAGTGATACTTTCTCTGAACCAGGTAATTAGAATGGTTGCAGGCTTACCAAACTGACCTATTACTATTTTGAGTGGAAAATTTTTGTGTGAATGCTTTATTTTAGTTTAAAGAGTAAGTAATCTTTGGATATGTAATTGCTTTTTATTTTTCTATTCAAATAGCTCTATAAGGATCACTTGTATATTTATAGTGGTTCATACGCTGATTTTTGTTTAAACACGAATGTATTTATTTTTTTAAGAATTATTTTATTTATCTTTATTATTTTTTTCTAACTTGACCAGGGAGTAGAGAGAAAAAGAGAGAGAGAGAGAGAGAAAGTGAGAAAGCAAGCTGTCAGGTCCAGAATTTGAACCATGGTGATCATGTGGGAATCCATCCCCTTAACCACCATGCCACCTGCCAGCCCTGTATGTTGATTTCTTAAGGGTTTATTTATTATTTTTAAAAGAACTATTTAATTTTATTTATCATTATTATTATTTTTAAATTTGCTACAGGGCATGTGCACTCACCAGAGACAGGCAGGCAGAGAGAAAGGAAAAGTGACAAAGCAAGCCGCCAGGTCCGAGTTGCGGTCAGCCATGTGGGAGTCCAGTGTCTTCACTCCACCTGCTAGCCCTTAAGGGCTTATACTTTTTAAAAAATATTTATTTAATTTTTATTTATTCATTCATTTATTTAAGTTTGATCAGAGAGAGAGAGAGAGAGAGGTAAAGTGAGGAAGCAAGCCACCAGGTCTGGGACTTGAACCATAGGTGGCCATGTAGGAATGTCCAGTGGCTTAACCTGCTGGTCTCCAAGGGCTTATTCATATAGTATCTTAGTGACTTGATTTGTCACTCCCTTCAACAGTTGTACACAGATGCCAAGATTTATTGGTTTAAATAATACTCCCATACCAGCTGGTAGTGTGGTGGTTAAGATTGCTGAATCCCAAACTGCACTGTTCAAATCCCTGGGTGTGGTGGCTTGAAAAACATACCAGGCATCTGTGCATGCATGCCCAAAATCCTGAGAGAAGAGGAGGAGAAGCTATTGTGGCATGGCCATTTTCCCTGGGAGGCGGGGGGTTCTCTCTCTCTCTGGTGAGTAAATGCACTTGTATAGTAAATTACAAATATATATATTATTTATGTGTTCCCCTGTTATAGATGAAATTAGATAGTAGTATCTGGAATGATTTTCTGACCGTTTTGTAGTTCTTTTGTTGATTCAGTTTTGTCTTTCTTCCTTTGATTTGCTGATTTTTTTTTTTTTTTGTAGTGGTCTGCTTTGATTCCTTTTTTGTGTATTACTACAGGTTTTTTCCTTATGGTTATCAAAGGCTTATTTATAACATTTTACATTTTTAACAGTCTGTTTTAAGCTGATAGCAATTAAATTCCACAATTGCATACAAAAACTCTACACTTTACCTTCTCCCTTGACATTTTATGTTATTTATTGTCTCAGCTTACATCTTGTATATTGTGTAGTCATTAAAAATTACTAAAGGGGGGCTGGCAGGTGGTGTGGTGGTTAAGAGTGCTGGACTCCCACATAGCTGACTACAGTTTGAGTCCTGGACCTGGTGGCTTGCTTTCTGGGGACCAGCAGATGATGTGGTGGTTAAGGCACTGGACACTTCCACATGGCCAACCACGGTTCAAGTCCCGGACCTGGAAGCTTGTTTTCTCACTTTCTCTCTCTTGCGCTGTGTGTGTGTGTATATGCGTGTCTGGTCAAATTAAAATATAAATAATTATTTAAAAATTATTGTAGCTATAGTTATTTTTAATACTTTGCCTTTTAATTGTGATACTAGAGTTAAAGGGATTCATGTACCACTGTTGCAGTATCAGCTACATGAATTTATCTGTATTCTTGTTTTGTCAGTTTTATACTTCCACAATTCATTTTGTTAGTTAGAATGCTTTCATTTCAACTTTAGCATTTGGCATTTCTTGTAAGGGGTGTCTTTTGTTTGGGAAAGTCTTTATGTCTTTTTTTTTTTTAATTAAATTTTGCTATAGGGTACATATACTTGTCAGAGAGAGATAGAGAAAGCACCCCCCAGAAAGGGTAACCACACCATTGCGAGGATAACCTTCTCCTTCATTCTTCTCTTTGGATTTCGGGTGTGCACATGTACATGTACCTGACCTTTTATTTATTTATTTTTTGGAGAGATTTTTGCTATAGGTTGCATGTTCTCCCTCATATGTATTTTTAAGTGGCCAGGCCCAGGGACTTGAACCATGTGGTCAGCCATGTGAGATTCAGCTGTTTTAACCACCACACTACTGGCTGGCCCTATTTCCATTTCTGTAGGACAGCTTTGTTAGATATATTACCCTTGGTTGGCAGTTTTCCTTTCAGCACTTTGAATATATCATCCCACTCTCCCCTGGCCAACAAGATTTCTGCCAAGAAAACCATGGGTTGTCTTGTGAGGTTTCTTTGTATGTAGCAGGTCACTTTTCTCTTTTTGCTTTCAAAACTCTCTTGATTTCCCTTTTTTTTGGGGGGGGGAGGGAGACGTTTTTGCGATAGGGCACATGTGCCTGCCAGAAAGA